TCCTAATTTTCACAAAGTTGTTAACAAATCGCACCATGACACAGTTCCCCTTTGAACCTCTCTTAAGCATTTCATTCTTCATCATAAAATCTGATGCATTCTTCTTCAGATTCAGATTTCATTTAGGGGTTTATTTTCACTTCTCACATGTGTTTGTCAATACAGGGCGATTTGCACTGAAATGCAACTGGAATTATTATTTTAAAACACGGAGATTTTTTCCAATTAATCCACCAGATATATCCCATCAGAAATGATGCTATTCCAAATCAGTAGATAGAAATGCAAGGCAATATATTGCTGATTCTATATGCATTTTATTATTAACCATCCTGTATCCAAGATTCCAATCAGTATTTTCACTGATTAGGTCATTATGTCAGTCAGAGTGATTTATTCTAGCCTGTAAATTACTTTGTGTCAGAAAGACTCCGGCTTCATATACTACAAACAGATCAAAATCTCTCTCATTTTGCTCAAATTTAATCCAAGTCCCTTTTTATTCTGCCTGCACACACCACCGCACTTCTCCCATTCCACAAAACTTTCCACCATTTTTCATATTCACTGTTTTATGTGGAAGATGGTAAATAACAGACAATTTGGGTTTCCTAGAAAAAGTCCCTTACTATAGATTGACCACAGTCTACAACAGCTACCACTGCAGGCTGCTTCATAATTACTGACAGCCCAACATGACAGGTACTTTGAAACTGATGGATTTCCTACATACTGGTATCCTGCCCAGGCTGAAATCCTGCCTTAGGCTCTGAACTCCCAAGGTAAGCTCCATGTTGCCGCAATGCTTGCCAGAAATAAGTGGATTTCTGATATGATTGATAAGTTGGATTGGTGAATGGATAGAGATTCCTACAGAATCTGTACAAGGGTACCTAAAGCAGCAATGGTCATATATTGCTCTTGCGCCACCAAGTGGTATGTTGGTGCCTCAGATTTGTTCCAAGCTTCTTTTCCCCCTTCTTTCATACTGCGGCTTTTAATTAAAATAAAAAGCTGGGAAAATCCATCTATCCATCCATTTTCTAACTGTTTTCCAATACAGGGTCACAGGGGACCTGGAGCCAATTCCAGCAAGCAACGGGCACAAGGCAGGGTACCCCCGGATGGGACACCAGTGCAGGCCACACACAGACACACCATTTAACCTATCAGTATGTCGTTGGACCGTGGGAGGAAACTGGAGCACCCAGGGGGAACACACGCGAACACAGGGAGAACATACAAACCCCACTCAGACAGCACCCCAACAAACCCAGAACCCCAGAGCTGGGAGGCAGCAAGGCTAACCACTGTGCCACTGTGTAACCCAGCTGGTAGAATAATAAGGAAAACTAAAATTGTTTTGTTATTGTAAAAAAATTGGAATTCTCTTGGATACCCAAATATACATGTATTTGCTATCATTCCAAATTACACACATACTAAACAATAAAGCCGCTTTTTGACAACTCAGTGTGGTAAATTTACTGTAGGAATTTTGCACCTTACCCTTGATTTTATAGCGAATTTGACCAAACCACAGGAAAAATTAAGGATCTGTGCCTGTGGCTGGAAGGTTGCCGGTTCAAATCCCGTGGCCGGCAGAGGAATCCTACTCTGTTGGGCCCCTGAGCAAGGCCCTTAACCCCAGCTGCTCCAGGGGCACCATATAAATGGCTGACCCTGCGATCTGACCCCAAGCTTCTCTCTCCCCACGTGTGTGTCTAATGGAGAGCAAGCTGGGGTATGTGAAAAGACAAATTCCTAATGCAAGAAATTGTATATGGCCAATAAAGTGATCTTATCTTGGATGCTTTGTGTTTGAAAGTACAATATTAAATAACACATTCGGGTAATCCAAGCTTAGAGCCAGCACCACAAAGCCCTGGCCTGGGTCAAAGTGCTCTGGCAGACCTAATGGAGATAACCAGCGAAGTGCCTGAGTTAATACTTCACATGCATAAATTCATAGAAACGCACACACAGGTCACAGGAATATAAACAACTCAACAAAAAAATCTATTATTGCCTTTCAAATCTTTAAAAAGAAGCTGTAGCTAAGAGATTTTGCTGGTACTGAATGGGATAGAGATTGGAATCCGGTAATGAGAGGGTTAAAATTAGAGAGGAATTCTTTATGAAAACCATACTGCTCCATTAAAAAAAAAGTCACAAAGATCCGCAGACGCCAATGAGCAGTATTTTTGAACCTGTGCGTCATACTTGAAAACCAAGCCAAACCACTTATTAAACTAAGGGAAGCCAAGTGCCATAAAGATGGGATTGGAGCAGCTTGTTATTTTTCTTTCTTGAGATGAACAGGAAAAGATCAATGGCTGTGGTAGTTAATTTTGCCACAGAGATGGCAGAGCGAGGGCTGGGAGACCAGCCTGGAGAAAAGATATGAAAGACTCCAGGGCCTTTTGAAGAAAAAGCCAAGAATAATTTCCCACATGTAACATGTCGCACCAAAACCGCAGGCTGGCTGCTGAGATATAGATACTGCACACAGTCATGGGGACCTGCCCTTGTGTGCCTTTATACAGAGTGGCAAAGCAGTTTATTAAGCCTTAGTAAATGAGTTTTATTAGCCATAAAAAAGAAACAATTTGAAAAAAAAAATTCTTCCAGTGGCTGGGTAAAATTAAGTTGGAAAATGTGCGGTAAGGGTTTTGGGAACATTGTTCAAATTTCTCTAAAGAACAAACGTCTTGTTATTAATGATGGAATATTACAAATGAAACATCTGGGTTTAACCTGCAAACATGATGATGCCTTTATCTAAAGCAACGTACATTCGTACCCATTTATACAACAAGATAATTCAGTGGAATAATTCAGGTGAAATATCTTGCTTGAGGGTACAAGAACAGTATCTCAGCAGGAATTTGAACCCACAGCGTTCCAGTTACAAGTCCAAGACCATAAGAACTTCTCTACAATGATTAAAGATTGACAGTACTGGGAGGGTTCTTACTGCTGTTTTCATCTTTGGAACTTAATTTCACTGAACTTTATTAGTGAGGCAAACTGGGAGTAAATCTCTAACAGAGACTCTCTTAATCCCTCATTTGGTCTTTATTTTCATCTTTAAGACCTGTGATGAGTTGAATGAAGGGTAATTTTATCCTGTATAGATCAATACTGATTATGACCGAATGTAAAAATGAAAAGTAAATCACTGACAGGGGTGTTATAGCAATTTAGCATAAAGCTCTCACAACCCCTCAAGGCTAATCTTTCATTAACTCTTCCCAACACTAGACTGCCAAGTCATCACACCGCAGAACGAGCCTTCTTTTCAGTTCAGTTCATCACTGTAAGGTATTTCGGGGTCAGCAAATCTTACTACACTGTAACCTAATGTTTCCCTCACTCATTGTGCTAATGCAAATTCTTCCCCAGTGGTTTGTTCCACAGCTTGCAGTTTTCATTTTTCAACGGCTTAGAAACGAATTGCGATTGTTCAGGTCGTCCCTGTGACTCAGGACAACCCGTTCAAAATGTCAGCTTGCCCCCAGCATGTCTTCTGACACGACAGGTGTTCTGGAAGCGAAGAAAGCCTGTAGAGGATTACAACACCATATTTCCCCACCACATGCCATTTCCTCGAGTAGTTTGCAAATCCCTCTCAGATATCCTGGCCTCACATGTTCTGCATGAGGAGCACCAACTGATGCCTTCAAACAGACGTTTCAGGGTCCCTCAATGCAGACTGAACAAAATGAGGAATTCCTTTATCCCACATTCAAACAAACTGCTCAATACATGTGTTCACTATAAAGGAGTATTGGTTTATGGGCAAGTGTAATTACTGGTTATGTGCAAAGTGAAGGGGAATAGAGCAATTTTAGGGTCATTGCGGGGCAATAAACTCGTAGGTTTGGTAAGCTGTGTGGATTCCTGAAGGAGTGGTGCAGCATGACTATGTCCAGTACGTGTTGATGTCTTTTATGAAATGCTATATTTATTTTTCATGTGATGTTTATTTGTTACTGCTTGTAAAACACCGTGGTTTGGATGCCAAAACAACTTTCTGAGGAATCAGACAAAGTATTATCGTATCGTAGTCCATTTCAGGGCAATAGAAGTAAAAACCAAAATCTCAATCTCATCTGTCCTACCTGCCAAGACGGAGAGGAACATCAAATTGTAACATCCCATGGAGTCAGAGGAGCAGGAACCAATGACAGATGAGCTACTCTTTGGCTGTCCCAGAAGCACAAAGAGCGAGGATGAGCTGAAAGTACAGGGCAGCAGTGTGGAGCACTGGACAGGGTTCTGGATTCATAACTAAAAGATTAGGGGCTCAAATCCCAGGTGGGAAACTGCTTTTGCACCTGTTCATTCAAGAATTCACTGTGCAGTTAAGCAAAGGCTTGAAATGATTTTTAATTTGCGATGAAAAAGGTCATTTCTATAGAAACCCAAAGGAGAGACACAGGGTGTATTTCTCATGCTATGAGTCATAATGCTCTAAATCCAAGTATTTCTGCAGGAAGCTTTAGAATCTGAGAATAACTTTGGTCACCCTTTGTTACCATGAATGGGTGTCTAGAAGTGACATTGCATATGGATTATAATTATATTAAATACTTCTGCACATGGCTTAATGGCTATATTTGATAATGCTAACCTTGCCTTTCAGTTGTTTATGATATCTCACATACAACATACATGTCAGTTACTTAAAATGCGCTCAGGCCATTGTCAGGAATGAACCCTGGTCAGGTCAGATTCTACACTCCCTTGTGCTTCACCTGAATTGATACAGTAAAACATCCAGCTGTTTACATTAGTGCAAAAGTATGCTATTCTGTATAAAAGTGGCAATAAACAAGTGGTAAGTATTGCTATTTGCTCCAAATATACAGTCAAGATTATATGACCCATAAGTTGCTAATATTTGCCGAATAGCAATGTACAACATTCATCTGATGGATTTTTACCTAAGGAGAAAACAACGGTGCATGATCAAAAATACTCATTACTGACACAAATTTGAGATTGTCAGAGTATATGAATACTCTTTTCTCTTTCAGAAATCTTTTATTGTTTCCACTTGTAAGAATTACTTCATGGACATTCATCACATCTGTCAAATGGACCCCAATAAACCCTGTATATTATTACAAACCCTGGATATTATGCAATATATAATGACACATAGACTCCATTACCTCATTTCCAGCTGATTCTCTGACCGGAGCTGATCAAGTAAAGGCAATTACAATGCCACAAAAACCGCACGGCCCTTTTGCTAAAGAAAACATGGAAATGACTCTGTTTAACATTAAATATTTTCTAACTGAAATGTTATATATTGGCGTAACGCATGACAAACAGGTAGCCAATATACAGTATATGTGTGTATGTACCAAAACCAGTGCAAGGCAGCAAACCAGCATAGAATGTAGCATCCTGCATATATTTTTAACATATTCTTAAAATTAAATTTGCCACTTTATGTGGCATATTCAGGACTTCTTTGAACTGCAAAAAACAATCAGTTTCAGAACAGTGATATTAAACTAGAACTAGGGAGAACAAAATCGAAAACCAAATTTTTCTTCCTCCCTTTGGTTTCCTTTTAAATCTCTTCTCCAAAAGATATTGATATAAAATGCGTTTCTCTAATCTGTAGCCTCGCTGAAGTGTCCACAGTGTCAGCCATCCTACAGGGATGAAAGGGAGAAAAAAAAAAGGTTCACCCACAGAGGAGCTGCAGATCACTGTGCTCATAGGTCACCGTTGGTAACATAGCTTGCCCTCCGCCTTCGAGCCCGTCCTTCCCTAGAATTTTCAAGTTCACAAATTTAATTTTCCAGCTGTTGTCCATGGGAGCTCGGATAAGGCCGAAAACCTGCTCAAAAATTCCCAGGCAGGAGCGATGCCGGTGGATGGTCCCGGCCACCGCGACTACCACCAGTCCGTGAGGCGAAGCGACCCACTTGAGGCCTTGGGGCTCTAGGTTCGGGCTGAACAACAGCTGTTCCTCCCTGGCCAGCGCCAGCAGGCGCAGGCTGGTCAGCTGTGCCCCCTGGTACTCCTCCTCCTGCTGTTCGCCCGTGCTGTAGCAGAACTTCAGCCTGGCGTCCTCCCAGAAGTGCTGTGGGCCCCAGTCTGACGAAGTTTGCCCCAGCGTGGGATTCTGGGAGTTCAGGAGCTGGAAGAACCACTGGCAGAACTGCTTGGCCAGCACCTGGTAATCGCCGGCCGTCATCTGCTCTGCCTTCGAGGATGTGGCCTCATCTTCCACACGGACCCTGGAGGCCTAGTGCAAAACAGAACCACAAAATCACAGCACAATCCAGAGCTCCAGTTCTTGAAAGCATTAATATACAAAAGTAAACAAGTATAAACTTGGCACAGCCCAAATTGCTAGTTGTTTTGTACTTGATCCTAAACTACTCCTCTTACATTGAGTTTTCTTTAAAAGGACGTTGCACCAGTACTCACCACTAGGTGGCAAAGAAGGGGAAAAAATAGAATGATACACAATGGAAATAATTGGAAATAATCTTGGACAGCACATTGGCACAATGGTTAGCATTGCAGCCTTACACAACTGGGTTCAACCACAGATGTGGTGTGCTATCTGTGTGCAGCTTGTATACTCTCCCCACGTTCATGTGGGTTTCCTCTGACAGTCCAGAAACATACTGGTATTTTAATTGTCTCCTGAGAAAATTAGCCAATCTGTGCATGTGTGTCAGTGTCTGCTCTGTGATGAACAAGCATCTCAGCCAGGTTGTACCATGCCTTGTGCCCATTGATTGCCAGGATAGGCTCTGGCTCCCCTGCAACCCTAAACTGGAAGAAGTGGTCAAAAAATGTATGGATGAATAATAATATAATAAAATAACTTACAAAAACAGCACAGGCTCAGGATTTCCATTTTATGCCACAAACAAATTACACTGTTGTTGGGTAATTCAATGTAGATCCCAGCTACATCTCTTGATAATGCCTACTATTAACACTTTGTGATGGTACCAGCTTCTTAAACTGGGCTTTACAGTCATGTGTTTAGATACACATAAGTATAAACATGATGGACAAATATGGCCTCCTCTTATTTGTAACATTTTTATGCTTTCAGAAGTGTTCCAAACTAGTACAGGCAAGAAATCTATAAGAGGAGAGGCCCAATTACATTACAGGCCAGATTATCCCATAATTCAATTTTCTTTCCCATAGTTCACCTCTATAGGGCCACTTGTGAAGCCTGCTGTGCAAAGGTCAGTGTAACTGAAAACACAGACAACTACACTAGGATGTTCCTGGTGAGTTGGCCAAGGAAAACAGAAAATGTGTTTTGGTTTCTCAAATTGCTCTGAGAAGAAGGGAAAACAGCAGTACCAAGAAGGGGAGAATTCTAGATTTCTGACTCCATTTGCCAAACAGTTCTTTTCTTTTGTTTCATTGACCAAAGTGTTCTTAATGCTGCACACTAGGCCACATTTACTCTGACATCTAACATCTAGGATAACAGTGAGCAATGCATTCTTGCATTTTCTAAGGCTGTGGTTATTTTATCATCAGCCATGTTAAATGGTTGGAAAAACATGTTCATTGTTTTTTCTGGGTCGGATGTTTATTTATTGAAAAATGCACCACATCTATCACCATAGAGACCAGCTTATAGCTATAGCTTATAGTGAGGCCCCTGCCAGGGTACCTACAGACTTCATTAACAGCCCCTATAAATGCCCCTTCTTTCTTCTATCATATGGGGCTTTGAAGTGGGTTTGTATTGGTGCCTTCTCACTATAACGTGAAGGTCAGGCCATGCCCAGGTACTGACAAGGTCGGGGCAGGCGTATGTTACTTTATATAGCAATTATCCCAGCCCGGTTTCAACAAGACGTCAATAACCATGATAGAGCAATGGTAAAAAGGGCTTCGATTTTATGATTAGCAACTGTAGAACTTGTAAGGAAATATCCAAATGGTTTAAATTATTCAATTTAACCAATTGTCTGTTAAGTCTGAAACGCAACCGAAAAATGGTCCCCAAGTATCACGCCATTCCGTATGACACAATGACCTTTGATCCAGGATATAAACTGGATAGTACACATCCAACTCTCGTAAAATACTGTGCTAACAACTGCTAACTGTGAAGCACCTCAGCAGTCGCGTTGTCGGAGCGCCAATACTCCAAGGTCCTCTTAATCAGCAGGTGCTTCTCCGCCGCCGGTGACACGACGACACCTTCCTTCACTAGGTAGGAGAAGATGACGTCCCTTTGCACCTTTTTTCGTTTCAGCAGCTCCTCGGCATTTTGGCTGTAGATCAGGATGGCCTGCTGAGCTTCTGAAAAATCAGCAGGAGACATTTTTTCACGTCCCTAGAACTCGGGACCGACAGATCTAGCGGGCGCGCCATTCTCGCGAAATGGCGCGGCATTGCAGTAACGTCCAAGGATCACATTCGGGGTGAAAAACACTAAGTGGACTTAAATGTTCACCAAAAACTACAAAGGTGCAAAGTGACGCGAAGCTGTGAGATCACAGGATACGCAAATAACCCATTGAAAATGGAAATTCCTCACCTTCTATATTCTCCACTGCAATCCTTCTGTTGGTAACGGTATCATTCAGAGCTAATAAATCTGCTTCCGACAGAGACTTCAGTATTTTCGAACAACCTTCCTTTTCTTTTTCAGACAACCCCGACATCTCCTTCCAATCCTAATAAACACATCGAAAACGAAAACACACCTCCTTCCTTTCCTTTGCAAACTCGACTCCACCGACTTCTCTGTTCCGTCCAGCAACAAAGCGCCGAACCTAAAGTTCCTCATGTGCGTCACAGCGACAAACTTCCCAGGCTCGGAAATTAAACAAACCACCACCTTTCAGTTAGATTATCAAATAATTTTCTATATCAGTGTTTCAGAATATTTTATTCACGACTTTTATGGAGATTTATGGACTAACTATTCTTTTAAGGTTTTGCAGCACAAAAAAATAAATTATTAGTAATAGGTTTTTAATCTATACCACTTGATTCTAGCTATAAACATTAACCCCTATATCTATTTTTCCCCAATCATTTGTTAGATCATTAAATATAGATGTAACTTAACTGCGATTCATTCATTAAGATTTGTACTGCCCTGACCTTATCTTTTAAAAAAAAAGAAAGACTGAAGAAAGCCATGTGTTTGGAAACGGTGATCGAGATTTCGGTAACTTCCATTTTAATATTTTGGAACAAATTAAGGAAATTTATTCATTTAAATAAAATACGGCTTTAATATTATAGATACACATACTTTCGTACTGTGCCAAAACGCAGAGCAATATGTTTGATTTTTTTTAATTCATTTTTCCACCTCTGCCCAGAATTATTGAAAGAAGCGTCAGTTTTGGAGTGTCTAAAAGTCGGACTCTAGTAACAAGCATTCTTCAGATTAAGTGTGTGAAAATGTCATGATGAAAGGCGCTAGGACCTCACAAGACTCCCAAGCCACGCAGTCTTCTGCAGGAACTGCAATGTATGAAGAAGTATCTGATGTACGTACATCGATGCGGAGCGCAGCCTTGGGACAGGTAAGTACAGAAGCTTTATTAAACGTGCAGAAACGACCATAAATGTCACTATGTTCTCGTAGAGAAACTGTCGATTCCAGTGCGCCAACAGCTGACGGGAAACGCAACTATTCTGGTAGTTAACGGAATCTGCCCTGGTCGCTGTTCACGCTTGGTGAATTTAGACTGTGCTGTCCGCAGATAACGATGCGCTAATCCAAAATATGGACATAGATGTAGATGCGAATTTATACCCCCGTTGAAATCGTACATACACGTTGTTAATAAATGAATTGCTGATGAAGCTGTGCCTTGGCTAGGTCGTCAGTTGTTCTATGTATGGTAATACAAGGTCAAGTGCATATGAAAAGTATATGTGTGCGTACTGGCACACAATGCGGGTAACAGAAGCCCGGCTTATACTACAAAGCGGCTTAAATTACTTCAAGACGAATGTTTCGCTTTTAATTGACCTCCCCTTTGTAACAAGTTATTTAAGTTTACAGTTAGTTACACCGTTGGGAGTAATCGGTAAAGTAAAACACCTGAAACAGATGGTGGTTTTGTTTTAAAGATGTGGCTCATCTTGGCATTGATTATCAGCTGACTCAGCTCTTGTGTTCCACTAAGTGCTGGGGATGGCAGGGAACAGGTTTTTATCTAATTATCTTATTGTTGATGTTATCATCGATTAAAACCACACAAATGAGAAACTACCGACCTGATCTAGGTGTATGTTGCATTCATTTGAAATGTTAGTGTTATATGAACTCTAAAGCTAGTATTATAAATGACAAAGCATTTTTCCCAACTCAAACAACAAGAAAGTTGTTCACAGCTGAACATTGATTGCAATACCTTGTTCTTAGGAGTCCTGAGTGGTTCTTTATTTTTTTAAATCTGGAAATGTGGAAATTATTAACACAGAGGCTAATCAAAAAGGGACAAATCTGTAAAGCATCTGCATTATGGCCTGTTAGTTATATTAATGTCTTCTATACAGTATATTATTCAACTGACTTAATCTGCGTTGCATCCAGGGTGTATTCTTCCTTGGTCACCCGCAGCCCTGTACTGGATAAAACTGTAGGAAATGATGGATAGAGCTGTCTCAACTTTTAACAATTCTGTTTACTTCTTAAGAAAGAAGTAATACTGAAGGCAACATTGTAAGGGCGCAGTGCTGACCTGGAGAACACCACGTTGGTTGGACAGGCTAAGGAATCCTCTTGCTGTGTATAGTGAAGGATGCTGGCAGGCAAGAGCAAGAGACTTGCAGAGCAGGGGGTGATGGACAGGTCAGGGAATGCACGATACAACTGAGCAGATCAAAACAGAGAAACCATGTACTGTAGCCAGGCAGGTCAGGTTGGTTGTGAAGACAGCACTACCGGACATGTTTCAGGTAGAAGAGAGACAGGATCTGGCTGGCTGTCAGGTTCTGTCTTGAAATTGGCATCAAGGCATCAACTGATTCAGGCAAGGTACTGAGAGTTTCACTGGCAGGCTGGTTAGTGTGAGGAACATTTCCAAATGTGAGTAGGAAGCT